CCGATAGCCGCAATATCAGGTGAATTGAAGGAGGGGAGGGAGGGGTCGGCGATGTGCGTTCGCATGGGGCAGGTCGAGTCCTCTGTGGCTGCTCCTTCCGCATGGGCCTGTGGAGGGCCTTCTGTCACCACAGGCGGGGGGATTGCGTTGCCTCCCTCTCTGGATACAGCTCGATCTTCCTCTGGCAATCCTGCCACAGCCGCCCCGCGGGCACGTCCCAGGGCTTCATTTCCAGCCGCAGGGGGCGGCGCGCGAGTGCCCTGCGCAGTAGGAGGAGGAGGAGGAGGAGGAGAGGAGAGGAGGAGGCGCAGCCGATAGCCGCAAGATCTGGTAAATTGAAGGAGGAGAGGGAGGGGTCGGCGACGCGGGCTCGCATGGGGCAGGTCGAGTCATCTGGGATTGTTCTTTCCGCGTGGGCCTGTGGAGGGCCTTCAGAAGCCCAGTATTATTTTGCTTGCCTTTGGCGACCGCACCTGGGGGGACCAGACGATTCGCCACCCACGCAGCGCGTTACCTCCGGCGTGGCGTTGACCACAGCCTCCGCCGACCCGCCGCGACTTCCCACACCGTACTTCAGTCCGGCTGGTACAGTGGTGTCCTGGACGCCTGACGAGGGCGTCTGGGGCTCGCCGTCCACAAGAATCTCACTGACAGGGGACGGAGGGCGAATAGGTGCGAAGAGGTTTTTTCTCGACGAGCCGGCGCATGGTTTCGTTGTCCTGCGCCTGGGTGGCTGCTCCGTGGTCTCCCTGCTGTGCGCGTGGCTCTCCCAGAGGACTGATGACGGACTGATTGTCCTGAGGGGGATGTTCCGCGGCTTCCGCCGCCTCCGCCGCCTCCGCCGTAACTTCCCACTCCTTTCCTCTGGCCTGTTGGCCCTGCTGGAGGGGGGGGTCGTTGGTGTGAGCTCTACACTGGTCACTGTAGGCTACCTCCTCTCGATTCCCCACTGGGACATCGTCGTCTGTCCACGATGCGGGGGGTGGTATTGTGTCCTCAGCCTCAACCGCCTCTCGATTCCCCTCTGGGACGTCTTCGTCTGTCGACGAAACGGGGGGTGGCACGCTGCCGCTGGTGCTGCCGCTATGCTCCGATGTGTCGTTGTGCGTGGCAGGATCCCCGGGATGGTCGTCTGTCGTTCGGTGGTCGCCGTCGTGGTCGACGTCGTGGTCGTGCTCGTGGTCGTGGTCGTCGTCGTCGACGCCGCGGTCGTGGTCGCGGTCGTCTTCGTAGCCGTCGTGGTCGCGGTCGGCATCGACGTGGTCGTGGTCGCAGTAGTGACCGGCCCTGTGTGTTCGAGCTGGGCTCTCCTCGTCGTCTCTGGTTGATCTTTCCGCCGCTCCCTGCGGGGGATCTTCTGTCACCGCTGGGGGGGGAAATGTTGGCCAGCTCATCAGGAGGAGGAGGAGGAGGAGGAGGAGGAGGAGGAGGAGGAGGAGGAGGAGGAGGAGGAGGAGGAGGAGGAGGAGGAGGAGGAGGAGGGAGGAGGGGAGGAGTCGCAGCCGATAGCCGCGCAATCAGGTGAATTGGAGGAGGAGACGGAGGGGTCTGGGCGGCCCGTGTCATGTCTGGTTGATCTCTCCGTCGTCCTCTGCGGAGGATCTTCTGTCACCGCTGGGGGGAACCGTTTGCCTGTCCATTTGGTGGGGGGACTGTGTTGCTTCCTTTTACGGACTCACTTGCTTTCGTCTGGCAGTCCTTCCCCAATTGTCCTGTGGGTCCGTGCCAGAACCTCGCCCCCAGCCGAGGGGGAATGGGCAGGGCTGGTGTTCGGGACCCACGAGCCCCAGCGGCGGCAGCAGCGTCCGCCGCGACAGCGGCCGCCACGCCGGTCGCGGCGCCGCCGGCCGCCGCCGCCACCGGAGGGGATCCGGCGGCGGCGGCAGCAGCGGTGGCGACGGCAGCGGCGGCAGCAGCGGCGGCGGCCGCGCCGCCGGCGGCTCCAGGGGCGGCCGCGGCGGCGCCGGCCACAGCGCCCTCCGCCGCCGCCGCCGCCGGCGGGGAGCCAGCAGCGGCAGCGGCAGCGGCGGCGGCGGCGGCGGAAACCACCGCCAGCCAGCCGGCCGCCTCCGACGGCGGCGGCGGCAGCGGCGGCAGAGGGCCGGAGAGTCCAGGTGCGGCGTCCCTCCGCGCCGCCGCCAGCCGCTGGCGGCGTCGCAGCGCGGCCCCCGAGAGGGCGGACATGGCCCGGGCCCGAGTGCGCACCTTAAGCCAGAGGCTACGGAGCTTGAGCCAAGGGGGCTACGGACTGGTGGGGATACGCGAAGCATCTAGAATTTTTCACGAGTGCACGGAACGCGTGACGGGCCAATGCAGGCGGCGGTAAGCTTAACCCGTCCTCTCAAGAGCCCCGTGCCCGCAACAAGTTCTACAACAAAGAATCGGGCCACAACGGATACCATCATTGCCCAGGTCCAGAAAGGCCATCATCTCCAAGCCAGACTCTTGGGTCTCAAACTCAAAAATGAGTGGGCAGGCAACTCCGACAGCGTCGACTTCGGCCGCGCACGGTGCATAAGGCGATGCGCACTGCCTTCGACCGCATCAGAAGAAAACTCTCGCCCTTGTTCTTAATCCATCGATTAGTCGACAACTGCTGTGCGGCTGAGGGCTCACAGTCCTTCGCCACCTAAATATGCTCTTGGGATTTTGAAGAGGCTTGGGCTCGAGGAGATCTGCCGTGATCTCGACATCTCCGATCCCCTGTGGCCTCACCGAGTCAGAACTTGTGGCCGGCGACTTGCACGATGGGGGGGGGGGAATCAGGAGGGAAGGCGGGGAATGGGGATCGGTGGCCGTCGAGTTCTGCGCTGTCAGCATTATCTGCGCTGCCCATGCAAAGAGAAACATCGTGATCACATGATAGCTGAACTCGCGAGTGAGAGCCTTACAGAAACCCTCGGCCAAACCACGAGATCCTGAACGCAACTTAGCGAACAAATCAGCCCAAACATTTCCAGCCTTCAACGTGGCACCCTTTCCCTGCGCCGAAACCTCCGCGAATGCGTGGTGGGCATGGAACCAATGGAACAAAGAAGGTTGAGGGATGTGGGTGCGAAGCGCGTTGGCCCAACTACCCACATGCTCCAAATTCCCGAATACTTGATCTGGGTCCCGACCTTTGCCTTCACAAGCGAGCGCCAGGAGATCAGCGATCAGCTGCTCGGGACACGGTGAGACTTGGACAAATTGCCTGATCATCTCTCCGCCGTGCCGATGGCCTGTCTGGGTCCATGAGACGCCCCATACCGAACTCGATATGTGAGGATGTTATCATATGACTGCACCACGGCCAAACAAACCCTGGGGACCTCGGGGATGCTAGACCGCAGACAATTTCCTCCCAGAAAACTCTCGGGGCCCCACTCTCCTTGAGTGCGTACCTCCCAATGAAAGACCTCAAGGCCATACACCCTTCAGAACGCCGTCAAGGGCCTAGCCCGTTGCGGGCTGGCCAGACAGCTTCGCTTCGCTTCGCTCGTGTTGAGTGTGTGCTGTACTTGCCTTGTTACATGTGTTTAGCTCGCTCGCTTGTAGTTTGAATTGTCGCTGCCTCGCTGTCGGAGCTACTGTTCTGAAGGCAGCTACAGAAGTGCCTTCCTTGCTGCAGCACGGTTTTTGATAATTCGGACAAGTTGACCCAATCGGATGCCGAAGCATGCCTTCCAAGAACTACCTTGCCACGCAGCAACGCTCGCGAAACACATCCATAACTAGCTTCGAATGAGCTCCTTGGCTCCTTCTAGTAAGCCCGACGAGCTTGCTACCGCGCCTTCAAGCCATGATATAGTATGCATACCTCTTGCGCATGGCGCTTCGTCGAAGCAAGTGTAACCAATGTTGCATGTACGTCTCAAGTCCTCACGCCCTGCGCTCTTGCACCGATTGGTGTGATAAGCAATCGTTCGGGCGGGAGGTCTGAACTTCTGAATAGTTTATGATCCCAGGGCAAAAGCAAGGCCCTACATAACACATATCTTGCGTGATCATCTGTCAACAACGAATTGCAATATGCAATTACCGTACTTCCGCCAGAGTTTCTGCAGCTCGAGAGGTCACGGCGGCAACGCAGATAGCCGTGCAGGGAACACGAGGGCGACTGGAAACATGGGGAACTCGGGACAAAATCGGAACAAGAGCATCATCTCTCCAAATTCCCCGCCCCTTCCCTCTCGCTTCGCATCCTTCTCCTTCTACCCTCATCCTTCCTGTTCGCCCTCCCACCTCCTCCATCCCCTTTCCTTATGAATAATTCCTCCCTGTCGCCCTCCCAGACGTGTCCGCAGGGCTGGCCGGGCGTTTCGCATGAGACCTTCTCACCATTATGATCCTGAAACTTGAAACGTACAACCATTTCACGACTGACGAGCGGGTCGTTTTCGAAATGTGGTTATCGCCCCAGTGCCGCGCACGTTTGCCTTCACAGTTCGCAGAAATTTCAAGGACGAAGGGAAGGCGGGTGGTTTTCCAAATGTGACGATCGCCTTAGCGCCGCGCACATTCGTCTTAAAACAAGTGCAGCAGCTTCACCGATGGAACAGGGCGGATTGTTTTCGAACTGTGACTCTCGCCTCAGCGCGGCGCCCATGGGTTAAACGTTGGTAACAGTGTCAAGGATGAAGGGAGGGCGGGTGGTTTTCGTGGCTCTTGCCTTAGCGCCGCGCACTTTCGTGTCACCGATTCGTTTGGTTGACGTCCTGGGAATGGTGTCCTGGCACGGTTTAGGGCTGTCAGGACGCAACGTTGCGTTGCGTGTTCGCACGATTGGCGATTCTCAGATCGTGGTCATCTATGGAGCGCTTCCCGCAAAGAAAACCAATCTAGGAAGTAGCTTACCAAGAAAGAACGTGGAGGGAAGGTGTACTACAGCATCGTTAGTGCGCCTTTGGTTTGCACTGGTCTGCCCCCTCATCCCCTCCTCTTCCTCCTCCTCCTCCTTTTCCCTTCCTCCTCCATCTCCCTCCTCCTCTTTCCTGCCCAGGCGATGCGGGGCGGCGCACTGCGAGGGCGCGGCCCTGACCTGCGGCGTGGCGCCGCGGGGAGGGGCGTCTCGCTCTGCCCTTTGCGTCTGTCGTCGCCCCCTCTTGGTCTTCCCTCTGGAAGCTGCGCACACGGGTCGCCCGTCATGGCTAAGGACGGAGGAGCAAAACGAATAACTGCATATACTGCATATATGTATGTATAAATATATATGTCAGAACGAACGGTCATTCATTGTCCCTGGGCGCGTGGCTGAAGTTAGGATTCGTGGTGCAGATTATGTTTGTTGCGTTGTTGTTATTGTTGTTGGTGTTGTCTGTTGTCGTTGTCCCACCCGCGACCCACCCCGCGACCCACCCGCGACCCAACCCGCGACCCACCCCGCGACCCACCCCGCAACCCACCCCGCAACCCAGCTGCGACCCAACCCGCGACCCACCCGCGATCCACCACGCGACCCACCCACGGCACACCCGCGACCCACCCGCGACCCACCCGCGACTCACCCCGCTGCCCACCCGCGACCCATCCGCGACCCACCCACGATCCACCCGCGACCCACTTGCGATCCACTCACGACCCACCCCGCGACCCATCCGCGACCTTCACGCGACCCACCCACGACCCATGTGCGACCCATCAGCGACCTACCCACACTGGTTTAACGAAAAGATCGGCGCCTGCGGCGAGTTCGTTATATAATTTATGAACCTTTGGCTCCTGCGGTGGGTTTCTCCGCAAACTCGCAAACTGCCGACGTCCCCGCCGCCCCATCACTCTTATCCGCATTTGCGGGGTGCTACGGTATATGGTATATGTCTATTCACATACCTACGTACATACATACACCTACATGTGTGTGTGTGTTCATCCGCTATCGTGCCGCTGGGCACGGACTGGGCGTCCTCGAGTTATTTGCATAATCCCCTGAGCCTCAGTCGCAACTCCGAAGGAGTCTTTAAGAGGCCAGGAACCACTGCCAAATCTCCCAGGGCTTGGCGCTGCTTGTCGGAGGCTCCCCGCGTCTTGTCGCATGAAGTTGATGGCCCCAAGAGGGCCCCGAGACGCCCTAAGATCGCGCCAAGACGCCCAAGATGGTCCCTAGACGGCCCAAGGGGCCTCCGCATCGACCCAAGAGCCCCAAGAGCCTTCCCAAGAAGGCCCTGGGAGGGCAAAATCATTGATTTTGGGATCCTCGACCCGGGGAGCTTCCGACGCTGCAAGAGGGCCCAAGGCTGAAGAGGCCCCAAGACCGCCCCAAGACCCTCCACTTCCTCCTCCTCCTCCTCCTGCTCCTCCTCCTCCTCCCTCCTCCTCCTCCTCCTTCTCTTCCTCCTTCTCCTCCTCCTCCTCCTCCTCTTCCTCCTCCTTCTCTTCCTCCTCCTCCTCTTCCTCCTCCTCCTCTTCCTCCTCCCTTTCCTTCTCCTTCTTCTCCCCCTCCTCCTCGTGTTCTCTCGCCCACTGCCGTTCCCACCCCTGAACCATCGCAGCCTCCCGCTGCTGTTCCTCCTCCTCCCCCGCTCCTCTCCCTCGTCCTTCTTCTCCAACGCGGGTGGACGGGCGGTGGCGCAGATCTGCGACGACGTCGTCGTCGTCGTCGTCGTCGTCGTTGTTTGCTGGCGGCGAGTTAGGGGGGGGGGGCGAAACTTCCCGGGAGGGCCTGGGAAGGGGGGGGTGGTGTTCGACCCCCCCCCCCCCCCGGCGCAAGAATGTGTCGTCGTCGTCGTCGTCGTCGTCGTCGTCGTCGTCGTCGGCGGCGGCGGCGGCGGCGGCGGCGGCGGCGGCGGCGGCTGCTAGGGGGGGGGGAGGGGGGGGGTTCAAACCCCCCCGGGAGGGCGTGGGGAGGGGGGGGGAGGTTGCACCCCCCCCTCTGTTTTTTTTTTTGGGGGGGGTCCCCCCCGTTCCGGAACGCCCCCTCACCCCTTGGTTTGGCGGCGGGGGGGGGGGGAGGGGTTGTAAACCCGTCCCCCCCTGCCAGTGGCGCCAGAAAGCGCCCTTTCCAAAGTCTTAACCTCCCATCTCTTGGACATTTCGGCTTCAGGCTACGTGGCCTGGCGCAGGAACGCCCAGACAAGCTGCGGTTGGCGCAGCGCCAGGGAGCTCGGCGAAGGTTCCCGCCAATTGTGGTCACCCGCCCATCATTCTGGTCGGACGACTGTGGGGGGTAACAATCGGGTGCGGCCTGACCGATCCCCTCCGTGACGAGCACCTCGCCCGCGAGGCTCGCCGTGGGTACAAGGAGGCCCAAACGGGCTAAAAACCTGCAGGATCCGTTTCCTTCAGGATGAGGGGCAACGGCAGGGGGGGACCTGCTCAGGAGGGAAACATCGACATGGAATCGGCGACACATCGCCGATGGGCCCCGGCCCTCGACGGCGAAACCGCACATGCCTGGGAGGGGCGGGCTATCAGGCACCTCTCAACGATCAATGGGCGATTGACGGTCGACGCCGCGCTCCCCCCCTGAGCCTGTCTCATTTAACGTTGCCCCCCTTTTCCTGCGCGGCGAACCCTGCACTCCCCCCCCCTCCCCTGCTCCCCCTGTCCTCATCCCTAGCCCCTAGCCCCCCCACCCCACCCCCCGGAACTGGGGCAGAAGGGAAACGGGGGCTCGCCCCTGAGGGAGGAACCGCGATTTGGGCATCTCTTGGGGCCCTCTGGACGACTACGGAAGATTCGGGTCGTGACGATCCCGACGCTGCCACTGACCTCGCTAGCTTTCGGGTCGCAGCACGGGTCTCCGGCGACCGTTCGGGACGATTCGGGCACCCCTGGAGCGCCCTCAGCGAGGCGCGGCTGCCAGAGAGCATCCAGAGGCCCGAAGGCCGCCGAGGACCGACTCGAACGCGCCAGCGCTGCCCTGACCCCTGCGCTCCGCACTGGGGCCCCCCCGCCTCGGTCACCTTGGCCGGCACGCTGGTGGAGCCCGAGCCGTCCAGGCCTCGCGGGCGGACGCCCGCGCCCGGGCGCGGGCGAAGCAGCGCAGGCTGCGAGCCGTGGAGGCGTGGAGGCCTCGCGTCGTGACGGCAGGCCACGGGCAAGCGCCTGGCGGCACTGCCGCCTCCAGAGAAGGGGCCGAGAGGTACAGCAGCCATGCCACCGTGGGGAGCGCCAGGCGAGGGACGAAGGCCGGCAACCAAACTCGGTCAAAAGAGATTCAGCCAGGATGGCCTCGGCCAGAGGAACTCGGCCAAGCTGAACTCGGCTGGCTGATCTCGGCCAGACAATAAATTCAGCCAAGCTGACCTCGGCCCGGGGCCAGTTCAGCCGGGCCGAGTGCAGCTGGCCGAGTTCAGCCTGGCCGAGTTTCGCCTGGGAGAGTTTCGCCAGGCGGAGTCTTTCCCTTGTCCGAAGGGGCTTTGCTGGCCACGTTACCCGACTCAGATCTGAGGCCCAGCCCAGAAAAACCGGAGGGCAGCCTGAGCCCAAAAGGGTCCTGTTATTTCAGCGCCTCTGGCTGCACGTCCGGCCGAGGGTGTACACGAAATATGCACTTATAGGTGGAAATTACTCAACGCTGGCGGTGATAGCTTGCGCTGCTCTGCGCGTCCTGCCGCAACGAATGTCGTTACCCTCTGAATGTAGGTACACGTGCCGGCGCTATTCACAGTACCCGAAGATTCATGTTAATCCGCCGACGTGCCAACGGCACGTAGTGAGATTTCCTCAGGTCCTTGGTAGTCTGTAGTCCTTACTTTGCATCGAATACTCGAGAACAGGCCCATCCTCAAAAGATGGTCATGATGGGAAGATTGAAACGACAATCCTATCCAACAGGGCGTTTAGTCAGCGCCTCAATTAAGGCCCTCAAGCGCGCCCTAGGCCTTGCAAAGGCACGAAGAGCCTCCAAGACGGCCCCAAAATGAAACCAGAGGGAGGCCCGCGACCAGACCAAGGGACTCTTTCCCACATAACAGTACCCGCACCACCAAGAGGGCTCCAAAAGGAACATGAGGAGACATAAGATGAGTATTAGGAGGACTAGAGGCGGAGGGCGGAGGGGGAAAGCGAAGGGAGGCGAAAGATGAGCAGACTGAACGTACATACCGCGAAGCGAGTGCAATACCCTTGGCATGCTGTTTCTGCTGGCCCCAACCTTCTTTTTCGTCGTCGATGTCCCCCACCTCCTGCAACTCATACGTACCAACGTATTGTGGTCAGCTATGCCAGCGCAACGCATCTCAGTCACAGTTGCAATCAACGCAATCATAATGCCCACGAGCGCAACATCACGTACATACGTCTCATGCTGTGTTGCCGTATCGAGCGGTACCACAGCTTCTGGGCCGTGTCCGAGCTCCATGCTGAGCTGCAGATCGAAATCAGGGACCCTCGGAGACTACACAATACACCAATCAAAATGTAGAGCCATGGCCTCGTTACCATCCAACCTCCGGCCAGGTGGCCTTCCTATGTCCACTCTCGGGATCGGAAATCCCAGAACCATTCAAACATAATGCCTCTTGATGACGCCAACGCGCTGCTGTCTGCTTGCCCTGAGTCCCTGAACACCCAGAACCCAGAACTCCTTGATTCTCTCAGAGCGGTAGCATCATGCCCCATCGCCCCGATCCTCCCCCAGAGGCCTCTGAAGGCCGAGAATGAGCCAAGCACGTCATTCGATAACCTGGATCCTCGAAGTCGAAAAGCTTCGGAAACAACCAGCACTGGCTTCCTTTGTTTGTCAGCTTTTCTCCCCCCTTTCAGGCCTTCGGTGGCCTCTTCGGGCCTCTTTTGGATGCTTCTTGGGGCATTTCGGGGAGACCTGCAGATTGTTGGCGCTATTGCTAAGACGTGTCCGAGGCTTTCAGCCACCAACTCGAGAGACGGACCCGATATGCATTCGTGCAGCATGATGCTGGAAGGCGCAGTGTAGCTGAGCATTTCGAATCTCGACTCCCTCCCACCAGAAACGCCCTGCCAACCCCATCACACGAACCCCGGCCAGCCGCATAGTAGCTCCCAAACCCGGGTGATCGGCGGAGGAGGAGGAAGAGGGGGGTCGGCTCCCTATGGCTCCTAAGCCCCGCCTTGCCGCTGAACCCCGCCACGCGCTCCACGACTACGGGTGCAATACGGATTCGTACACCAAGACGCGCTGGGGGCGCAATACAGCAGAGCCTTTTGGACAGGCATGACGACCAGGGGGCCCTGGAATCCAATGTTTTTTTTCCGAGGAGTGACTTTTGTTCCAGGGTCACCGCGTCAAGTCTTGAGAAGTACCCGCGCACCAGTGGGAACTAATTATCCTCTCGGCGCCCCCATTGACGGACTGGGCCCAAACCGACAGTGAAAAACAAGTGGCACGCGTGCCCTGGCTCTTGCACAATCAAGCATCGAAGGACGGAGGGAGGCTGGGGGGGGAGCACGAACGACGAACGAAGGACGAAGGCACGATATAGCGGGTCCAGAAAAAGAAATAAAGGGTTCCAGGGCCAGGG